AAAAATTCGAAATAGGAACTTTTCCTCAAATATCTCGAATACGGACCATTTTAGGAAAATTATGTATAGGGAAAAAATAAAGAGAATAATAGCACAAGTAACTATTATTCAAAGAACTTTTTTCCTTACAAATTATGATTCCTACGTTTAATAAATTTTTTTTTCTTTTAGATTTTAAATGTGTTATTTTATTTTAAATAACTTATTGTTTTCTATTTAATTACTTTAAAAAATCAGCAATTCAAATACTTGATTGATATTTTTATTAGGCCGATACTCACTTCACCTACTTATCGGCCGAAATGACCGATATCGGTTTCGGTCGATCTCTATTTACTTTCCTATATGTATACAGATATAAGGAAAGTATAGGAATCATGATTTTTTTCGACCTCGAGTTTTCGACAGATTTTTACGTTTTGAGGTCCCCTGAATCCGTTTTGACTATTTTCGCAATGTGTCTGAGTCTGATACTGAACCGATACACAGATAAACACCAAATTTTAAACTTAAGCTTTGTTTCAGTGTCCAGTGAACTGATTAGATTTTGGGCAGAGTCGGAACATCTGGGGGGTACTTTATGGGTAGTCATTTTTATATTTTATGGAATATATCTGTTATTTACGTTTGGGGAAGAAAATTCTTTAAATAAAAGTTACTTTTTATATTATTATCTATAATTTTTGTTGTATACAAAATTTTCCTAAAATGGTCCGTATTCGAGAAATTTGATAAAATGTAAAAACATATTTTTTTTATAAAAACTGTTTAAGTAAAAGTTGTTTGTAATATAATTCTCTATAATTTTTATTTATACATAATTTCTCTAAAATGGACCGTATTCGAGATATTTGAGAAAATGTGTAAATTTCGAATTTTGAAGAAAACTCAAAAACGAATTAAAAAAAAAACATTAAATTTTAAACTTAAGTTTTATTTCGGCTTGATGTGAAATAATTAGATTTTGCACAAAGTCGGAACATCTGGGGGGTACTTTGTGGGAGGCCGTTTTTATATTTTATGAAATATATCTGTTATTTATGTTTGGAGAAGAAAATTGTTCAAATAAAAATTACTTCTAATATTATTATCTATAATTTTGTAAAATTTTTCCTGAAATGATCCGTATTCGAGAAATTTGACAAAATGTGCAAAATTCTGATTTTTGAGAAAATTGTTAAACTAAAGTTGTTTGCGGTATCGATCTCTATAATTTTTTTTTAAATGATTTTTCTAAAATGAACCGTAATGTAAAAATTGGAGGAAAACTGTTAAATTTAAATTTTTCAGTATTTTCATTTTCAGTGAATATACAACAATGTTTCGAGTTAGATGTATGTGGAAAATGTATATATTTAGTTTATCCTCTAAACATTACAGAGGTGCTACAATAGGTTGTACAAAATAACTGGAAAAAGCCTATAATAACTAGATAGGAAAGTCATGTGTTGGACACGTCAGATTTTTTTTCTTGTTTTTATATCAAAAAACATGTTTAAGCAACGTTTTTTTTTTTTTTTCAGATAGCCAATAACATGTATTTGTGTTTCTGTATAATGTACATGATAGTTTTTATAAAACTTACTAATCCTCAACCAGCAGCTATTGGAGGAGCAGCCGGACCACCACCACCGCCCCCACCGCCGGGAAGAGGTTTCCAGTTACAATGCAGTGATCAGTTTGCTTATGCAGACACCAGTGATCCAAATTTTTTAAGGGAATTTGAGCAAAATGCTCCACCAGGGTACCATGTGTTATCCGTTGATCCGGCTATATTCCCAGGCAAAAATGCCCACAGATATATTGTCAGATATCGTTGTCAAAACTTTCGTAGATGTGAAGATATTAAACGCGTATTTCATGACATGAACACCTACAAGCCACAAAACTGTAATGTGGGATCAATCGGAGTAATTCCAGGTGGTTATATGGTCGAATATAAACAATTCTGCATGTGCTATCGACGTGCATATAGACGTAAGAGATGGACCTTTCAGAACAGTTCAAATTTAATTGCATTGGCACCGATAAGGGACTTCCAAGGACATATGGTTAGGTGTGACGATCGTGATTTTACATGTGGATTTCAAAGTTTCTAAGAACTTTTATATTTAAATAATGAGAAAATCATATTTTTGTTTATTTTTTTTTGTAAAATTGCATTAAACGATTTGTATTAGATATACAGTGTCTTTGAGTAAGTTGGCTACATATACAAAATGTTTATTCCTTTTAGAAAGAAAGTTCTTCATAAAAAACTCTGCATGGTTTAAAACTTAAACTACCACCATCAGATATAAAATTTTATCAGTCGTATATGAGGTTGGTCAAAAACAATGGTTGAGCAAAATCATATTTTTGATAAACCTCGTGTACGACTGATAAAATATGATCTTTTATGGTTTTGTTTGAGGTTTTAGACCAAATATATTTTTTTCTACACCCACCTGGTTATTAGCTTATCTACGCACATATCACAAAACGAAAAAGTATGCTATTGCCTTTAACTGAGCGAATCTATTTCATATCCATTCTAGGTAGTGAGAACACTGCAAAAAAATGAAATCTACCAATCACCGTTCATATTTTGATCAACCGACTGCTATTATTTTTAAAATTTTAAATTAGTGACAATTCTGTCAAAGTAATTGTCAGTATATTTTTTAATTATTGAAATTAAACACATTAAAATGGGTTATGCTTGTGTACAATCGATAAATAATAGCATTTCTGTTTTTATTTCGTCTATAATTATAAATAATTTGTAAATTTAAATAAAACTATATGAAGTCAATTTAATTACGAGTATTAAAGCATACAATTTAAAAGACTAGGTAATCGAGTAGTGAGCATTCTTACCTTCCACATTGGACCGGAGTTCGATTCTCAGGTGTGGAAAAACTTTTTTTTTCATTTATTTTATTTTAAAAATTATTAAAAGTCATAAATTATTCTAAAATTAGTTCTTTTGTCTTAATAACATAAAATATTTTTTTAATTTGTAAATTTTCGTTAGTGGGTCGTAGAAAAAATATACTGTACACAAAAAATAGCAGTTTGTGCAACGAGAGTGGAGATTATGTTCATGTCCACATCGCACTCAGACGATTGAGCACTCCGCCTGCGGCGTCGTTCTCAAATTTCGTCTTCGTGCGATATGGCCATCATATCCACTCTCATTGCACAAACTACTATTTTTTGCTAAAATAAATAATAAAAAAGTTTTCCATATGTTGTCAACTTACGTAAACACACTGTCTATAAAAGAGCATAAATGTAATTGAATATTAAATTGAATAATTTTAGCTTACATTTAAATAATTTTTAATCTAGCACAATATGATTGTTATGTCAAGAAATTTTATGTTTTTGTACCTTATGTATTTGGAAAAAACTTTCTGAACGTTTCTGAAACGAAAACAACTATTACTTGAGACTGTCGCATCATATAGTTCGAGAAAAGTTCAGACCAATTTTGAAGATTTTTTCAAATACATAAGCTTATACTTTATTGAAGCAGGAACACACTTTTGTAGATGTGAAGATTTTAAACGCGTATTTGATGACTTAAATACTTACAAGCGACACAACTGTAATGTGGAGTAAATCGGAGTGATTCCAGGTGGTTATATGGTTCAATGTAAAAAAATCCGCATATGTGCTATAGACGTTTTTTAATGATATGCGAATATTTAAGGATTTAAATCTACATACAAAATTAATGATAGTTTGCTTTATAAACTGTGGTCCAAATGTTCAATTTTTTTTATTTTTCAATAATTTCATTGATTTTTTTCGGACAATAAAACGGTTTTTATCTTTTTTTGCTTAAAAATGGAACGACGTAAAAAAACAACTTATTACAGCCTCTATTTTAGAAAAAAACGTTGACGTATAATTTTTTTCTTAAAAGTTATCGAATATAGTACCTGTACGCACACCTCTGTAGAAGCTGACAATTATTTTTGTTGGAATATATGCATCATTATCAACTGTTATTGAGTATCTTTCCCTGAAATATCTCAAACAGTTACGAAAAGATTAATAAATTTCATTTTGTTTCTCAAAATTTGGTAACATAGTTTATAAATCTAAAAATATTCACATATGATCGGAGAAAACCCTGTAGACGCAAGAGATGGACCTATCAGAACAGTTCAAATTTTATTGCATTGGCACTGAAAATGGATTTTCAAGGACATGTAGTTAGATGCGACGATCGGCAATTTACATGTATATTTCAAAATTTCTAAGGACTTTTTATTTAAATAATAAGAAAATTATATTTTATGTTATGTCAAGTTTTATGCTTTTATACCTCATGTATTTGAAAAAATCTTTCTAAACGTTTTTGGAACGAAAGCAAATACTATTTGAGCCTGTCGCATCATATAGCTCGAAAAATGTTCAGATCAATTTGTAAGATTTTTTTCAAATACATGAGGTGTAGAAGCATAAAATTTCTTTAAACAGGAACGCAAATATTTATGTATTGGCTATTTATAACTCTGCTTTAATAAAATGAATGAAATTATGCTGTTTTTTTTTTTGTTAAATTGATAACTAAAACTTTTCTGCGACATATTAGAAAAACACTTTTAATTTCTTTACTATTATGACTAAAATTTTAAAATTAGATATTCTAATATAATGTGAAACTTGATAGGTAGCATGGGCGGCTCCAGGGAAGGGGGCAGAGATGAAAATTTTTTCCGATTTATGGGCCATTTTTTTTAAATATACTAAAGAAGGAATGTCTAAAGGCAATGGCTCCCCCGAAAATTCGTCTTGTAGCTGCCCTTGATAGGTAGTTGATAAATAACTATTAGTATTAAAAAGTTTGCCATTCAATTGGAGTTACTAATTTCTAAAGTATTCGAAATCAATTAAGACAGAAGAATAAAAATTACCGAAATTTATAATATAGTACTTTCGTTTTAGTTTGGTGTTATAAAGTCTTTAATAGAATAAAACAAAACTTTGAACAAATAATTTTTATTGTGACACTCAATTTTTTTGAAGTTAACAGTAGAGGATCATATTTCAGAAATAAATGATTTATAAATTTTAAATTGACAATTTAAAAAAACTTTTTACAAAAAATTAATTAGCATTATTAAGATTTAAGATTTAGGTTAATCAAGTGCTGAATTTTAGATCTTAAGTGAGCAACTTTTTTTTTCATGTTATTTTTCTTAATAAATTCTTCCATTGTTGATCCAGAGGGATATGATTTTTTTTCAATATAGGTATTAAACTTTTTCTTTACAAGCTGAATTTCTGTATTTGTCCAACCTAAAATAAATTATTATCTTTATTTTAATAAAAATTACATTTAAAATATTAGGCTGGCTTACGTTGTTTCCTGACTCGCTTCATTTTTGTTTGCAAATATTCTTCATCGGCGGTTACATATTCTAAAGCATCACTTGCTTGATCTTCTTGATGATCTACTTCATTTTGAAGATGTTCTATATTTTGAGTAATCATTGATCGCTTAGAACCATCTAAACTCGTTAAATCCATATCTAAAAAAAAAAATTTTTTTTGTTATACAGTATGTTCCCTAAGTTGGAATCATATGGAAAACTTTTTTATTATTAATTTTAGGAAAAAAAAAATATTCTCTATAAAAAGTTCTGCATTATCTAAAATCTAGAATACAGTCATCAAATATCAAATTTTTTCAGTGGTATACGAGGTTTGTCAAAAAATATGAGTTTTACTCAAAAGTAAAGTACCTTTATTCTTTATACGACTAATAAAATTTTACATTTGATGGTTGTATTTTAGGTTTTAGACCATGCTCGACTTTTTATAAAGAACAACTTTTTTTCCTAAAATTAGTAATAAAAAAGCTTTCCTATGCCACCAACTGTCTACGTAAATTGGCGGCATATGAAAATCTCGTCATATATACCTCCTCTTAACTTTTAACCACCCTAACTCTGTTAGTTTTAATAATAGCAACAAATTCTAAATATTACTTATATGTAAAACTTTATGCTTTACAATTTTTATTAGGAACTTTTTTATAGCACCTACTGTTTTTAAATAACCTCAAAAAATACTTTATTTTCTTGTTTTTCGCCACTTGCCGGGGCCTGAAAAACAACATTTTTTTACCTATCGTTTTCAAATACTCTAAAGTAACTTATATCAAAAATTCCTGTATTTCCTCCAAAATTTTGATTTAAAGGTCCATTTAATTGGACTATATTGTTGGAATCGGTCTATAATTTCTCGTATTAACTATTTTTCTATATCTGTTCATATAAGAGAGATATTGAAAATGAGCACACTTTTTAAACACCTATATATTTTCAAAGTTACCTGCTATTATCTCAGGGTCATTCTTGCCTTCATGTTGTTTCATATTAATATCTTCCCAGTTATTACTAATGTCATTACCACCATTACTACCATAATTATCATTCAAAAATACTACTCCTTCATCTGAAAATATTAGAACATTTAAAAAATAAAACAGTTTCCTATATGACTTATAATTTTACTTTGAAGTATACAGGGTGGTCCGTTAATAATGGGACATAGCAAGCATGAATTCCGTGCATAAGCTTAACATTTTATTGAAATAAATCATTCGATAAAATTTGTAGTTTTTGAAATATTGCCAATTTAACAATTTTATTTGGAGATTTATTGGTTAAACGATTAGATATAGGATAGCGATAATACTATTTGACATTTTAAATATTCGTGAAAAATAACAGTAGACACTTTATTTTATTAAGTACCTATCTACTTTAACACCCTACCTTTTTTTAATATTAAGAATTGAACTCTGGTAAATTGTGTTACAACGCAATAGTTTTATACAAGGAATTCATAGATGCTCTGTGTCCCATTATTAATGGACCACCCTGTATACCTACCGTTGTCATTATCTTCTTCGACTAATTCGGAATTCGGATCAATATTTATTTCCGCCAAAGATTTTCCTTTGTATTCTATTGGAACAGTACCCTTTTCCATCATTAAAAGTAATTTCGAAACTTTAGCTGTTTGATAAATATCCACAGGCAATCTAAATTGAAAAATAAATTAAATTAATTATATTTCACAAAAATAGTCTTTTTAAAAAACTGTCTATTCCTTCAAAAAAGTAGAAATACTAAAATACTAAAATTGTAATTTAAAATAATCAAAAATAAAAATAAATGAAAATGGAAATATGAAACATATTACAGATAGTTAAATTTAAACATACTCGTAAAATTCATCGTGGGTTTTCTGGGTATGTCCCATGAAATTGGCAAATTGTTTTGACTCGTCTTTACTTAAATTAAGTATTTGCATCACTGTAGCTATTTGCTTTCGTAATTTGTTACTAGTAATGGCATCTTGGTTTTCCAGTTTCATTTTTTTACAAAGAGTCTTGATTGCTACATCACCTTTACCCCATTTTATGATGCTGCCAGGTATTGCGAAAACGTATTCATTTTCTGGTGGTATGTACATTGGCCGTAACTTCAATAGCAAATCTAAAATTTTTTGTAACAACTCTGGTATTAAAATGACCACTGCTCTACTGCCTTTACCACTGTTAATCACTCGTTTATATTTCGTTGTCAATATTTTTTCGGTTTCGGTAAGTGCATTTTCAAAATCTTTCATATTGGTTCGTCTATCATCTAGGTAATCTTTCATTTTCAGATATTGCACGTCCCCAATTCTTCTTCGATTAAAGAGAATTAATAATGCTAAAGCACATTGTGTAAGCAACTTGTAAGACTTTTCGTCCCTCTCATTTAAACTCAATTGTTGCTGACAATCATATGCAATTTTGATAACCCCTTCCCTAAATGTTTTAATATCACTGACAAGAGGTAACAAAACAGGTTTATTCCACCGTTTTTCTAATAAGTCTTTATTGGCAAGAGATCCTATTTCAATATTCCATCTAGAGTCTACCAACTCTCTAAAAAATTTTATATTTTGTATCCATTCTTTCTGATCATTTACAGATTTTGTTCTATAACCTCTATTTTGTCTCAAAATTAAATGTACATATTCATCACACACATCTTTTAACGAGGTGCCGATGTGCATAGCTAAACTTGGTGCGTTAAAACTTTTTTTTTCAGGATTATATCCAGCAATTTCTCTAGAAGCTAGAACCACGTTATCAAAATTTTTGGGGTTAATCATATCTTTTAACCCTACATTTTTATTATTGGTTAGTGCGCGATATGTAATTAGCAAACGCGAAAGTTCTCTCATTTTGTTACTTGCCGCATACACCATACGTTCTCGCTTATGTTTTTTTAAATATGATTCACCTATATGAGCAATCAGTAAATCCTTTTTAGCTTCAAGTGAAATGTTATCTGGTTTCATTTGATCAAAAACCTACAAATTATATAATAATCAGGATATTAGTTTAGAAAAAGTCTTAAACTTATTAGGAAAGGATTTTTTCATCAAACATATACAAAAATAACTATATTACTTGAAATTTAAATATTATGTATACGTAACGAATTTTTCTAATGCCTATAGAAATACTCTTATAACACTTTAATAAGCCACTGCATTGCTTTTAAAATCGGGGTGATAATACCTATTAGAAAACATTTGTAATTATGTCATCTAAACATTTAGAACGGCCGATTTTCGGTTTTACACGAAATTGTCCCAATTTTAGATTTTTAAATGGAACTATTACACGTAATTTTGGCCTATATTTTAATTTAAAATTTTAATTGCTGATATAATTATTCAAAATTGCCCTGTAACAGGTTATATATTAAACTATTTTTTATTCATTTTTATTTATTTTTATTTATTTTTATTTATTTTTGTTCATTTTTATTCATTTTTATTCATTTTTATTCATTTTTATTCATTTTTATTCTTTTTTATTCTTTTTTATTCATTTTTATTCATTTTTATTCATTTTTATTCACTTTTATTTATTTTTATTCACTTTTATTGATTTTTATTCCATTTTTTTATTTTTATTAATTTAAATTAATTTTTATTAATTTTTATTAATTTAATTTTTATTAATTTTTATTAATTTTTATTAATTTTTATTAATTTTTATTAATTTTTATTAATTTTTATTAATTTTTATTAATTTTTATTAATTTTTATTAATTTTTATTAATTTTTATTAATTTTTATTAATTTTTATTAATTTTTATTAATTTTTATTAATTTTTATTAATTTTTATTAATTTTTATTAATTTTTATTAATTTTTATTAATTTTTATTAATTTTTATTAATTTTTATTAATTTTTATTAATTTTTATTAATTTTTATTAATTTTTATTAATTTTTATTAATTTTTATTAATTTTTATTAATTTTTATTAATTTTTATTAATTTTTATTAATTTTTATTAATTTTTATTAATTTTTATTCATTTTTATTCATTTTTATTCATTTTTATTCATTTTTATTCATTTTTATTAATTTTTATTAATTTTTAATAATTTTTATTAATTTTTATTAATTTTTATTAATTTTTATTAATTTTTATTAATTTTTAATAATTTTTATTAATTTTTTATTAATTTTTTATTAATTTTTTATTAATTTTTTATTAATTTTTAATATTTTTCACCCCCAGTTTTCCCTCTTAAAATGTGAAAATTCAATAACCAAGAAACACGTCATTTTTGATTTTTAGTCAGTAGCTGTAATTCAAATTTTTTTGTTTTTTAAACTTTAAATAACAAAAAAATATATACATACTATAAAACAAATTTTCACCCCCCATTTCCCCCCTTAAAATGTTAAAATGCAAAAACCCTGAAACACTTCATTATTTATTTATGATAAGAACAATTCCAATTTTCAAGTTCTTACCTTTAAAAAAATCAGTATTTTCAAATAAACTTTCACTCCCCCGTTCCCCCCCTTAAAATATGAAAATCCAAAAACCCTAAAACACGTCATTATTAATTTGTACTCATTAGCTGCAATTCCAATTTTCATGTTTCTAACTTCAAAGAGAACAAAAAAATATATACTCCCATACAAACTTTTACCCCCATTTGCCCCCTTCAAGATGTAAAAATATAAAAACCCTAAAACACATTGTTATTAATTTGTACTCAGTAGCTACAATTCCAATTTTCATGTTTTTAACTTTAAGAGAATCAAAAACATAGATACTCCCAAATAAATTTTCACCCCCCATTTCCCCCATTAAAATGTAAAAATCCAAAAACCCTGAAACACGTCATTATTTATTTATGCTTAATAGCTGTAATTTAAATTTTTATGTTTCTAACTTTAAAGAACAAAGAGTTTCATTAAAAGCTCCCCCCATTTCCTCCCATTTCCCCCCTTTAAAGTTCAAATTTCCAAAAATATTTTCTTAGCGGATGCTTACGTTATAAAATAAACCTATGTTCCAAATTTCAGCTTTCTAGGCTCAGTAGTTTTGGCTGTACGCTGATAAGTCGGTCAGTCAGTCAGTCAGGACAAACAATTTTATATATATAGATAGATTTTGAGAATATACCCCATTTAATCTTTTAGTTTTTTAATTTTTTAAACGTTTACCTGGAATAGGGCTACATCCGTCCGGATATTCTGGATTTGGCTTAGCCTGGAGGGCGTCCGGGTGGGGTTTTAAAAAAGAGTCCTTGGCGAAACCCGGACATTGTGTCAGGGAAAAATTCGATTCATTGTCTAATCTATCACCTCGATTTTAAAAGCAATCCAATGGCCAATTAAAAAGTTAAAAACGAGTCTCTATTGGCTGAGCCACTTGGTATAAGAGTTAAATTTTATTACATACCTTCACCTTAACATTTAATTTAGAAATTACATTAGTGGGATCCATTGCACAAGCAATTGCTGTCTGAGAACAAGCCAAGTGGTGATCTTTTTTACCTTGTTCCCTTAAAATTTGGTTTTGTTTCTTAACGTAACATGATTTTGCATGACGTTTTAAATAATTTTTCAAAAACAATCCTTTACAATAAGCACAGGGAAAATATTCAATGTTCTCATTTTTGTTTTGTTGACGAATCGGTCTTACTATTCCTGTCAAAAATAAATCAAAATTTGTATTGTTTCTTAATAATCCCAGTGCTCGCCGTCGTTCTTTTGTATTTTTTGGATGTTTTAATATATTTTGAACTTCATTTTCCTCTTTATGGTGTCGTTCAAGATGTCTCATAAAATTTTTTGAGAACACATCTTTTTCGCAATATGTACATTGAACATGTTTTTTATTGTTCTAAAATAAATGATTCTTCAATACTAATTATGAACATTTTAAAAATTTAAAAGTAACAAAAAATGTACTACTTTATTGACTGTAGAAATCAAAAAATGTAATTGATTAATCTAAATAATTCAAATCAAAATCACAATTACCAAACAATATTAAAGTACAAAATTTAGTTTTTTTTTTAGTGTAAAACAGTTTATAGAAATACAATTTTTTGTAGTTTTGAAGTCACGTAAATTTATATAACATTTCGATTAAGTATTTTTTATTGTTATGTAAAATTACCATTGGTTTTTTCTTTTGCGAGTTATCAATAACAATATCTTGAATGGGCATAATAACAATTGATTCATTACACTCAGAAAATTCTACTTCAGAACTTTCACTTTCTTTCGATGCCTCAAAATCCGGATCTTTATAATCATAATTTTGGTCTGATGTAGACACATGACTAGTTGAATTATTATCTTCATTGTACGATTTCGTTGTTTTTTCGGAGGTTGAAGTGTGTTCGGATGAAAAAGGAAGTGGGAAGTTGATGTCATTGGAATTAATCCATTCCTTAAAGACATTTTCTGTTTTATCTATTGCAAAAAAAGTTTTAAAAGCATTAAGTACTTACAATTGCCTTTTTAATGCTCAATTGTCTGGGGCTATCAGTTTTTTCAATTGATGGCTCTTTATCTGTATTTTGAGTATGCACCTCTGCTTAAAATTAAAACCATTTAATTGTTTTTATGAGAAATAATAAATAAGTGAAAAGGTGTTAAAGATGTGCGTGCGTGTGTGTGCGTGCGCGTGTAAATGTGTGTGCTTGTTCGTGCTTGTGCGTGCGTGTACGTGTGTGTGCGTGTGTGAGCGTGTGGGTGTGTGCGTATGCGTGCGTGTTTGTCTGTGTGCGTGTGTGTCTGTGTGTGTACGCGCGCGTGTGTGTCTGTGTGCGTGTGCATTTGTGTCTGTGTTTTGTTTATTTTTCCGAAACAAGGGAATAACTCAAACTTTATACACACATAATATGTATGAAGTTTTAGATTAAAATAGTTTACACAATAACTTAGTCTAGTTAGATAATATACCTAAATTATTTTTATCGTGGTCCATTTGTGGAAAATTGCCACTGGAAGGTTTTTCGTAAGAAGACGTAGGCAGTGGAACTGATTTAAGATTAACATATTTTTTATTTGGCCTTAATACAGGATCATCATCAGTAAATTCATAGATATCACGGTTACGATTAATCGGTTCCTAAAAGAACAGTTATGCTTTGTGCTAATTCAAAAATCAATATTATTTATATAGTTTATTTACTTACAATAATTGTCTTCTGAGTGCTATATTGTGTCTGGTTTTTATTTTCAACTGTTAAATGATTTTCCGTTCCCTGATTATCTGCGATTTCTTGAAATATAAAATACTTTACATTATTAATTGAATAAGATGAGTGAGAAATATTTTAGCACAGCACTACATGTGTTTCGGAAACATTTTTTTCATCTTCGGGTGCAGTCAAAATTTAATAAAACTTGGGGACGATTACAAACAGTTTAAAAAAAAATTAAAGTAACAGTAAATTCATCTTTCTGCTTCAGCGTGTGAAGGTGTATTCAAAATAATAAAATAGTGAAAAGTTAAAAATTACCAGTACAATTATTTAATTGTAAGCTTTTTAATCCTTAACTGTAACGCCACTGGCAATTTTTAACTTTTTAAAAATTCATCTTTTTGTTATTGTTATCGTGTTAAACCAAATCATTATTTCGAATACACCTTCACACGCTGAAACAAAAAGATGGGGTTTCTGTTATTTTAAAAATTTAATTCTTTTTTAAACTGTTTGTAATAGTCCCCAAGTTTTATTAAATTTTGACTGCACCGGAAGATGGAAAAAATGTTTCCGAAACATATATAGTGCTGTGCTAAAATAAAAACATGACCGAATAAACCTTGAAAATTTTATTTATATAAAATTCCGCTACGGTCAAAAAATTACAGGCCTGAAGATGGCTCTCTGAGGCCGAAACTAGTCACATCTTTATTTATTTTACATTTTTTTTTATATGACACTTTTTGAGCTTTATTCTTTAATTGAAAAAGGATTATGGCTTGTGTAACACCTGCTCTTGTTTTTGTCATGTAAGCAAAATAAAGTAATAATGTACTTACCCTTATTAAGTGCCATTGACACTATCAATTTGGTCCTGGAAGCCATTGCATGCACTACACTTAACTCGTTAAATATAACTAAATAAAAAGAAATCTGCTAACTGCTAAGCACTTTGTGCAAATATAAACCAAAGATCAGAATGAGATGCGTTTGCAAAAATATATAATTAATCTCCGAGCCTAAACAATTACTCATGATGTTATGCTGATGAGCGTGTGACCAATGAATAGTTATCGATATTATTAGTTCGAAGAATTTTTTCCACTTCAGTTATGAATTCTTTTGTTATTAATTAGTTTAAAGAAGTTGGGGCACCCTTTAAATTAAAATGGCTTAAGGGACTTTCTTCTAATTTTTTTTATATTAAAGAATGGGCCAAACTTTAGATGTGGTTAGTTTAGATAAAAATAAGTAAATTTATATCAATTTACCTCAGTAGAATTTTGCTTGCTTAGGAAGTTACAGGGTGGTGAAAATAATTCTTTTTTAATATTTTTACAATAATTCAAATATTTTTGGAGTAAATATACCCAAATTTTGTGAAAGTAAGTTTTTTGGGTGATACAAACGAATACCAACTTTTTTGTTGCATGATATGTACAGGGCGTTCTAAACTGGCGTGCCAATCTAGTATTTACTTCAGATTTTTTTTAGGAATATTTTTGATAAATGATTAATTTTTTTGAAATAGCATTCAATTTGCTTAAAAAAAGGTATACTTGTTGCATGTCGCTAAAATACATCATTTGAAGGAAAACTAATTTAAAGAGTATTGCAAATGTATGGATTACTCCATAATTTCCAAATTTGTTAAATCTATTAAACAGTTGTCAAATGCAGTAGCACTGTCTGGATTAGTTTTACAAACATGCATCAGAGTTTTGAGAGATAAAATTCGTTATGTTTATACAATGCCGCGATTTAACTTTTTCTCAAACAGTGAAATGACCGATATGATATCAGTTTACGCGCAACAAGGTTTTAATGCACGCGCTTCAGCAAGAAGTTATACCGATTTGTATCCTTATCGTAGACAGCCCAACCGAAAATTGTTTTCATGTCTATTCGGCAGATTAAGAGAAACCAGAAGTTTTCGCCCGAAAAGAGTCAATGGACGACCTATGGTTCGAGATTTACAGTAGGAGGAAGAGATATTAAATCTTGTTGAAGATGACCCAGCAACAAGGATCCGTTGTATATCTGCCAATGTTGGTTTATGCCAGGTTACTGTGTCTAATATTTTACATGAACAACAATTATACTCGTACCATTTAACTCCAGTCCAAAATCTAGTGTCAGATGATCTTTTAGCGAGAACAAATTTTAGTCAGTTTGTCTTGAATAAAAAGAGACAAGATCCATTTTTTTTTTCAATAAAATTATATTCATTGATGGGGCAACATTTATGAGAAGAGGAATTTTCAACTACAAAAATGCTTACACATGGGCTGTAGAAAATTCAAACAGTACGAGAGTGCGGCACTTTCAGCATGAAATTAAATTAAACATTTTTTTGTTATAGTCGAAGTTAACTTTATAGGACCTTTTGAATGATTACTTACACTTGCTCGAGTAAAACTTATTTGATCTGCTAGATGATGGTCCTTTAAATATTAGAGTTGATATGTGGTATTTACAAGATGGCGCCCCTGCCCATTATTTCATATCAATACAAAATCATTTAAATAACGTATTCCTCCAATCATGGATTGGACGAGTAAGTGAACATCCATGGCCTGCGCGTATTCCAGATTTGAACGCACTGGATTTTTATTTCTGGGGTTATATTAAGACTCTAGTTTATTCTGGCACTACTATTAATGCCAGAAATAAGTTGTTGCAAAAAATAGTAATAGCGGCTAATGTTATTCGACAAGACCATTCATTCTTAGCAGTTAGAAGAAATTTATTGAAAAGAAAAGAAGATGCATTGAAGTGAATGGCGAACATTTTGACCAAATAATTTAAAATGAATTTTTCGTTTTTGCTATTGTTATTGGTATGAAATTGTTAGGTTTTTCAATTTGTTATTTTTAAATATTCTTTTTCATTTACGTTTTCATATTTTTGCGTTGTTTCAGTATCTACTAAATATTTAATGAAGTTCTGAATTAATTTCTGATAATTTATGTATTATCTTTAGATTTAACATTATCAAATTGAGAAATTTTGGAGTAATCCATAACATTTACAGTACTAACTTTAATTAAGTTTTCCATCAAATGATGCATTTTAGCGACATGCAACAAGTATCTCTTTTTTAAAGTACATTGAACGCTTTTTCAAAATAAATAATTATTTTCCAAAAATGTCCATTCTTAATAAAAATCTGAAGTAAATACTAGATTGGCACGCCAGTTTAGAACGCTCTGTACATGTAATGCAACAAAAAGGCTGGTATTAGTTTGTATCACCCAAAAAAACTTACTTTCACAAAGTTTGGGTATAATTACTCCAAAAATATTTGAATTATCGTAAAAAAGATTGAATTAAAAAATAATTTTCTCCACCCTGTAACTTCATAAGCAAGCCGAATTATACTAAAGTAAATTGGCTTAAATGAACTTATTTTTGTTCAAACTAACCACATTTGAAGTTTGGCCTATTCTTTAATGTATATTGCAGAACTCATCATTTTAAGTTAAAGTTACCATTGAGCAAAAGCAATTTTAGGAGCCGTTTAGTTAAATATATCAAAATTTAAACAATAAATGAAAGCGGCAATTATCAGTATAGAAAAACGAAAATGAAGATTTGGGGTTTTCAAAGTAGCAATAATAAGTAGCGGAAGTGTGGATTAGTACATATTCGATATACATGGTGGTGCTGATGTTTTT